GGGACCAGAGAAAAAGTCTGGATAATCAAGAAGTCCAGATAACTGAGGTGTGGATAATCGAGGTTCAACAATAATAAGAAATTACCACACAACAACAATGATTATCCTGGCTACTTTCTGATCACCATGCAGTTTACACAAGCTGTTCCCTCTTGGTTTGAGCTGATTGGTCAATCAGGATATAAATAAAGATTTCTATTTTTCATTTATTTATTTTATGATTATCAAAGTAAGCATGCCAAGCTAGTATGGTATTTTTGTTCTGTTAAATTGAATAGTAGAAAAATCAATTCAAATTGTTAACTGTCAATGCACTTTCAAGCACAAAGGAGATGAGAAGTCAATATAACATTTTATTACACGACTCATGCAGTCAGAGGGCCAATAACTAAAATCAACCAATCAAAATGCTCTATTGCCAGTCAATATTCTCTCAGTATTGGACCGGGCACTGTCCTGAATGGTCCCGAATGATACTGCACTTGTGTCCCTTTGAACCTCAGTCATATAATAAATCTCTTATTAACCAAGCTTGCTCGGGACCGTACTGGAAGAATAAATTATCGACCCTCGGTCTTTTTCGTACGGACCGAGCACAGCTCGGTCCATACTGTCAAGACCTCAGGCTGATATTCTCCCAGTACGGCCCTCGCACTTGGTTAATAAGATATATAAACATCGAATTTTCAAATATAAAATTATAAGAAATGAATGGCAAACAATGGGCAGAATTTAGATTAAAATCTTCGGGTTAAAAAAGCCTTACAACCAAAGACTCAGTGCAAGAGATAACTCAATCAAAAGTAATACTTACTCTGTCTGTCTGAAGACTGCCAGAGAGGTGAACCAGTTTATCCTGATATTCAGGACTAATTTGGTCAACATAATCAATATGAACTACTTGTCTCAAACCCTCATCCAAAGATAATGCGGTTTGTACGGCCCTTCCCTGTGAATCAAAGTGTGAGCTATATAAAATAATTTTTAATGGAAAAGTGCATACATGTTCAAAGCAAGTTCTGAATTTGTTACCAAAGACTCTGACCTTTTTTAAGGATTGGACTTTGATTACATTTTTTTTCAAACATTAACAATCTAATTTTTGTTGAAATATAATTATTTCAAATATAAAGTTCATTTTTTCCTTAATTATATATGTTGTGGTTCAATTTTATCCTTGGTTTAAATTTTATTTTCCATTGTTTCAACCTTATTATCATACATTACCATAGCCAAAAACAATGGAAAATAAAATTTAAACCAAGGATAAAATTGAACCACAACATACAATGATACATGCAGTGTTATGTCCCTGCTGACTGTACAGTCAGCTACTGAAAAAAATCTCTCAAACATATAAATTTACAGAGAAATAAAAGAAGAGCAATGATTGGCTTTCAAGAGGATGTGGTAAAGGGTAATTTTTTGTGATTTGTGAATGGCCTATTTTTTTTTCTCTGAAATGTGAAATGGCTTGTCTTTTTTTTCTCATGAATTGTGATTTTATTAGTAGCAATGAACTGTGATTTTCCAAAATAATTCTCTATGAAATGAGAAGGAAGTATTTAATTCATCGACTAAACTGTGATTTTGGTTGTAGTTTCGACAGTACTTAACAATGACCATGAATTGTAAAAGGACTGATTTATTTTCTGTGAAACTTGATCTTGACGCCCCACACGGCCCCTCCCTTTACCACCCTTTTTCAAGTTAGAGCCCTCAGGTTGATCAAATCCTTTTATCACTTTTATATTAAACCTTAGCTTGACAACCTAATATCAGTATGCATTTTCTCTATACTGTTCTCTATACATTTCTTAGGGTGAAGAAGAGGAGAGTTTGCTTAACAATCCAGAGCTTCTGTGGTTGTTGATCATTTCCATTATCCTCATGACCTTAGCATGCATAGGTAGTGCATTGAGAACGTAATAAAAGTACTTGTACTAATAGTAGTGATATTACTGCAAGATTACTGAATAATGTGAAAGTATAACTGTTATCAAGTAAGATTATTATTTAGTTCTTATTAACCGAGCGGGAGGTCTAAAAGGGAGGATCTTGACCGCGGTCGCCAGTATACAGACCAAATGCAGTGAGGTCTGTACCAGCAGCCGCAGTCAAGATTCTCCCGTACAGACTGACCTAGCTGGGTTAATAAGATGTTTATTATATGGCTGTGTCTTATATGCCAATTTTTTAAATTCTTTGTACCTTCTTTTTTTTAGACTGGTCTAGATGCCCGTCCAAATAGGAAAATCTAGACCGCTTTCAATATTGATTTCAGCCAATCAAATTCGTGAATTCGGTAGTTCCCAGTCCTTGCGAGACACAGCCATATAATAAACCAGCTTATAAGATACTTGATTAATGAATAAAGACAGAGTATAGTAAGCAATGGAAGCGTGTGTGTTTCTACTCAATAAATACATAACAGCATGTGATTTAGGGGTGATATTGTAAAGAGAAATTAGATTTTAATTATTGATTGGTGCATCCATTCAGATCAAAGAGACAATCTGTTTCACTCTAGATGATACTAACTGTGCTTTTATGGACTACTAAATAAATGGAAAAGGACACAGTCAGTGAAACGTTAACATTTTCAAGAAAATGAAATCAGAACACTGAATATAAAGGAAAAGCCACAAACAATGAACATCGATCACTATCATCCTTCTTAATTCCCTTCCACTCCCAAGATCTCTTTAGTAATTCTCCTTACTGTCTGCCATACAATTCTTATGATGTTAGTTGAGAGAATTTGGTATTGGATCGACTGATAATCCCCCTATTTAATAATATTTTTCTTTATTCTCATCACTTGTCTGCTTGATATTGTATTAACATTGTAAGGAGAAATTTTCTCTTGATCACTTATGGGAGTGAAAGGGTTGACTTCTTGCAGAAGGAGTTTCAACTCTCACCTCATTCCAGTAAAGTACAGGAAATGACACAATAACAAGAAGAATTCCAAACAGGGATGCACAGAAACTTTCCTGCACTTTACTGAAAAATCCAGGATTCTCTTTATACGAAACCCTCACATGGCTATCACTTGGTGAACTTCCTATGTTATGCATTCCTGGAGCACTGGGATTCTGCAGAAGAAAAAGTATGCATTGTGCAAAACCATCGAGTATTTATAAGTAGATAAATCTACCAACCAAGACTCTAAGTCTTATTTTCAACGATAATGCCATTTCCATTATCCCTTGACACCCTAACATCAGAATGCATATTCTTTATACTGTTGTCTATGTAATTCTTAAAGTGCTGACAAGGAGAATTTGATAAATAATCAAGACCATCTTTAGTTGGTGATCACTCATTTTATTCTTGCAACCTTGATGAGTGATTTAAGAATGATATTGTAAGGAGAAATTAGATGGTAGTCACTCTTAGGAGGCCAAGGACTACATCACACAGTCTAGACAATAAGTTATTCAAAAGGCGTGACGATTTCTATTACTAAGTAGGAGCACCTGTGGTATAAAGTGATTTTAACAATTATTTTAAGGCCTCACAGAGATGGGATAATAAATTACACAAGCTGTATCTCAATTTTAATTTGTTCATGATTTGGATTTCAAAATCTAAAAAGGAAAGCTATCGCAACAACAGATTTAAAACTCACTAACTTTGAAGCTGAAATGAAATGAAATTCTTTTGATTGCATTCCAAACGATCAGCAAACAAAAACAAATTAATACGTTAATTTGAAAGCAAAACGCTTCAGTTAGTCATAACAACGGATTAAACCATTCTTGGGTACAGCAACGGTTAGAAATCAAAACAGGGAAAAAAACTGGCCTTATAAAGTAACACAGCATGAACTTGAGAAGGACAAGAAAGACCTGCCATTGTGTTGTTGAAATTTACAAAATATTAATGCTTATTTTGCAACGCTAAATGCGTTGATTTTTGTCAGTTGTGCTGCAACACCTTATTTCACTAGGTTTGTAAATCTACAAAATTGAACATCAAACACTTACATGTGACCGATACATGATAATTTTCCACTCGCCAAAGTCTTCGAATCAGCAAAACTGAAGGAGGAAGTAAAGAAATCGACAGGCGCAACACTGTGCTCGAAGAGTCTGCAACTAGGATCCCAGTTTCCCACGGACAAGTTGAGATTCAGCTTACGCCTACTTGAATCTGCACGGCGCAGTATTCCATTAGCGTGCCAAGGTTAATTCTCTTGCTGTATTTAGGTGCTTCAGTGATGACTGAAGAAGAATGGGAAGAAGAGGTACCTTGAGTTCTCTTTAGTGATCCTCGATGCTCTGGTATAGAAATAAAGGTTGTAGAGCAGATTTAATCTAACGAATGGATTCGTTCGTTGACAAATGGATGAATGGAACATTGGCAAAAGTTGTTTAGATTATCAACAATTGTGAGCCGTTAACCATTGTACTCATACATCCCGAGTAAGAACGGCCCACTGAATTAAGGCTGCATAAGATGAAATATGGAGGTTTCAGTCTCGGGTTTGCCGTGTTGATAATGGTAAATGCTAGCTAACACACTTATGAATACCTTAACTGAATCTTGTCTGTTTTAACTACAGGAACATCTTGTTGTAGTCAAGCTTCACGGAGTGATAAATAATGAGTTCTTGTACAGCTGTGATTCTTCAAACTGCCGACTACTGGTTTGTGTTGACTAAACTTAACAATGCCAGTGTCGCCAATGCACTGTAATAATGAATGCTTGGTGTGCAGTATTAATGCCAACTCCACACATATCTTTTTATGGGTTGTGCATTGTAAATCTGCTCTTAAAGCAAAATCCGACATTTTAGATAAAATAACATTTAATGGTTTACAGGGAATAAATAAACACATTGTAAATTACATATATAAATTAATGTTATTTTACTATTTTTATTTATTTTATTTATTTTTAACACTACAGTCGATTAACTGTAAATTATCTTACTAGTTATTACATCTTTTCTTACTTACCATGAGTTCGCAAGTTTGTTATTATTATTATTATTTAAATTTTGTAGAAACACTTTAGTTTGTAGGTCCACATCAGCTCTTTAGCTGTCTTTTATCGACCTACGTGACAAATAAAGTATGTATGTATGTATGTATGTATGTATGTATGTATGTATGACTGTGTGTAATTGGGAATTGAAACCTTTGCAACCCTTACATCAGTATGGATATTCTCCATACTGTTCTCTAAGGCATTTCCTAAGGTGCTGACAAGGAGAATTTGTATCAAGAGCAGCTTTAGTTGGTGATCATTTCCTTTATTCTCCTTACCTTAGTGCATGATTTGGGGGTGATATTGTAAGGAGAAATTAGATACTAGTTACTCTTAAGGGTCAAAGAGTTATTAATTTAATGTGCAGGATGTCATCAAAATCTGCTGTTTATGTAGCCTGCAGTGCCGGCGTATTTTGGGCGCACGAGTGCACATTTTCATATTAGGTCGCCATCTTAGATTTGGTAACTGTGGAGGATTGGGGCGAGGAAAT